GCCATGGCCGACTCTCCCACAGACTTGACCTCCCACCTCTCTCCAGTCCCCTCATGTTATACTCTTTACTGGATACCTTGCTATTTTCCAAGCGTGTCACAGGGCCTCTGCATTTTCTGTTCTTTGCTGCTTAGAAAACTCCTAGGATGCCCAAATGACTGTATCAGACATCTCAGCTAGGTATTTCTCAAACGTTACCTTCTCAAGAACCATTTTGCAATAATTGAATAAAATAGTATTTCCCCAACCCATGGCTCTCTATCCCCTTATCTGCCTTATTTTTTCTTACATTTTATTACAACTCAATGTGCTTTCTATCTATTTTGCTTACTGTCAGTAATCAAACTCCAAAGGTAAGCTTTGTGTGGGCAGGCCTTTTGTTGGTTATCTTTATTTATCCTTTCTATATCCTCAAAGCAGAAAGCCTACAGTAAGCATGCAATAAACTGTGCTGGGGTAGCTGAAATGCTCAGAGGTGAAAAAATGGAAAATTCAAGAAATCTAAATAAATTCACAACAGGTTACTATGTGGCTATGCTATATATGAGTGTGCACTTAAGAGATAATGGAGTTTTTAACAAATGAAACCTGGTAACAAAAATCCCCAGAAAACCTCCCTTTTAGTTGCTGGTCAAGGCAGCCCAAGAGACTCACAGAATGACTGAAGCACTGCCATAGTCCTTGGCTGCCTCCCAGAACTTGGACCTAATTGCTGAAGACACCACACACTTTAAACACAGGACTCTCATAATATGGGAAGGTGCTATGTAAGCTGCCATGGGAGAAAAGCAATTAATATTTCTATCCAGATGCAAAGTCTACTAACCACGACAATGACCAGCCCAGCAAAACATCACTAATAGTGGCACTTTTATCTTGGGGGTAAACAACAGCTATCTAATTGGACTTAAAGCCTGCTCAATAAGAGGAAACTCATGTCTGCTACTGAAAGCAGAGCCAAAAACCTGTGAGAACCTGGTTTTGCCACTTTCCTAAACCAATATGATCTCTTACTATATGATACGTCCACAAAGCAACCCCTACGCCTAAAGCTCAGGGAAAATTCAGAAGAGGGGGCGGAAAGATTTAAGAGCCAGCGGACCAGGACATACACTGCTAGACACGTATTTTAGACATGACAGGAAAGCTGCGCCCAGGAGATCTCAACAATGTGGCTGCCTACACAAGACCTGCATAATGACAACACCAGTGGACACGCCACTGTGGATGGGAAATTCCACAAGGTTGGGTCTCTAGATGAAGAGTTACAGGCTTCTGAGAGAGGAGAATCTGTTTTCTCCAGGGATAAGCTCCCTGACTGGTTATCCAATCCTAATCAGTCAGCTCTAAGCACATGTACACGGGTACCTTTAAGGATAATAAGGATGTTGAATTGAGAGTGAATGAGGGGGGTGTGGGAAGAGTTGGAGAAGGGAAGAAGGATGGAGATGACATAAATTCAGTATTCATGTATGAAATTCTCAAAAAACAAATTCTTAAAAATTAAAGATGAGTTTAACCCCCCCATCCCCTTTGTCCCCACACATATACAGACATGTGAAGATGACACCTACACATATACAGACATGTGAAGATGACACCTAAAAACTATAAAGAGAAGCCTCAAGAGAAACAAGCTGGGCCCTGTGATCTTGAACCTATAGCTTTCAGAACAGTGTCTGCTGATTAAGCTATCTGGTCTGTGACGTCCTGCTGTGGCAGCCCAAGGAAGACATGCAGCACGTTGGACTGGGAAGGGAAGTACACGGGGTGCTGTCCCTGAAACGCCTACTTCCTTCCCGTCACACCTTCTTCACTGTTTGGTCCTGCTTAAAACGTACTGAAAATAATAGTTTTGTTAGTCTTGGGGAAATTTATTAGACTCACTGGCATACAGAAACTGTTCACTAAATGGTGCTGAATGAGCACTTACGCCCCTGTACAGCACGCTATGGAATTCTGCACTCTTCTCATAGTGAAGGGAACCACCACGATGTTTTCATATAGGAAAGCCATGAGGACGTCAAGATAAGAAATGGGTACCTGACCTGTGGAATTCTGAGATAACTGTGGCTGGAGCTGAGTAAAGGAACTATGTCAAAGAAGGAAAGCATACATGAGAGGATGTGGGCAATAACCTGACTGAACCTGATGCTTTTCTGGACCATGACAAGTCAGAAACTTCAAACTGCAAAACAAAACACTGGAGATACAGGAAGGACATACAACTCCAAACCCTGAAGACATGTGGTAGGTAAAAATCAGACCCTGAGCCGAGAATGGTGGCACACACCTTTAATCCAAGTACCAAGAAGGGGCAGAGGCAGAATCTCTGTAAGATTGAGGACAGTCTAGTCTATGAAGTCAGTTCTAGGCTGGGGCTACAAGAGACCCCTGTCTCAAAAACACACACACACACACACACACACACACACACACACACACACACACACACAGAGTTACTGAAATGGTCAACAGAACAAATTCTGAGCATCGCTGTTCTCAAGGTAAATTCTGAAACACGAAAACCACATAACAGTTTTGAAGAGTTTTTATATAACGAAACCAAAAAAGCACATTGGTAAGCCATAGTAAACTAATGAGACCTATCTCTTAGGGGTCTGATCGATTTATTAAAAAAAAAAAATGGTAGCAGGGCATTAGTAGAGAATGACTATTTCCAAATATTTTCTGCAAATTTAAACAAGCACACTTACTTTAAAATCAGTATTCAGAACAAACATCCAGGCAATTAGAAGCACCACTGCAATCGTCCAAAGGATTACGTGCGAGTTTAGTGATATTCTAACCTTATCAGTGAGGAGACAGAAATCATAAAGAGCTTCCACTTGGAAATAGCATTATTCTGCTTACTACTTACAGAACTGTGGGAAATGGGCAAGAGTAGCATTGATCTATGTCTAGGGAGAGGTCCTAAGTATTAATACATAATGAGCTATTCAGATGGGCAAATCTGAAGCTCTCCTTCCTAAATTCCCAATTCAGGAATTAAATAACATAATAAAAACATAAAGTTTGAAACTGTCTTTCTCCAACAGGAAATGGTTCACAACATTCTGAATACATCCTTCCACTGTAAGAGACCTTTATCATTGGAGGTGGTTGGTGGAGAGAACAGAGCTTCATAGGCTCATGATGCTTTCAAGGTAATACAAACAGTACGAATTTACGCCAATTACTCTGGGCAGAAAGGCTTTTCAACAGGGTTTCCAAAGCCCACCAAAAGCTAGTAAGTAATTACTGCTCTTGGTCTTCTACATAAAAGCAGTGCTCTAATTTCTTCCTGTCTCTGCCAATGTCATCCTCCCATTCACAAGGGCTTGAAATCCCAATGTTGAATTCCCCTCTGGTTTAATCACATGTCCAACTACCACATTCTAAAGTCTTACTCTCTTTTATCATCCCCTCTTTCCTCCTTAACATCTCCCGGTTCTCTGGACCAAATTCCTTATTGATGAGAAAACCCTTCAACAAAGCCACACTTCCCATTCTGCATCCTAACAGCACTCAATTTCCAGAGGGAAGAAAGTTCCAACTCAACTCTTAACTAATATGAAGTGATTCCTAAGACACTCCTAACAATTTTAAATTCTTTAAAATAAAGTTTTATATAGTGTATGTGCATAGCCACTTTTGCATGAAGCCATTTATCAAATTTTCAGAAACAGAAAGTAACTATGAACGGAGAATAAGGGGTATTTGTTAATGACAACAGAAAAAAGGACTCACAAATTACATAAAGGCCAATCACACAAGTAGTCATGGAGAGAGATTAGAACATAATTTAGGAGAACATAATGTTAAGAAAACAGAGGGTTGGGAAGGTGGGCTACACAGCACAGTGAAAGTATGGTTTCAAAACCATCAGGAAGTTTACAGGAAAATCTTTTATTACACACTTGTAGCAGTCTGAGATTAACCAAAGGCTTAATAAAAATCTACAAGAAAACAAATGAAGAATTTTTCTTTTTGTCAAAAAAAAAAAGCTAAACATTATCTATCTATCTGTGTATACATGTATGACTGTGGGGGAGGGGGATCAAGGACAACTTGAAGAAGCTGATCTCTCCTTTCACTGTGTGGATCCTGGAGACTGAACACAGGTGGGTCAGGTTTGGGAGAAAGCACCTTAATCTGCTGACCCATCTTGAAAGCCTAAAAGCTCACTTTCAAATGGCAAAAGGACAAAAGTGGCAGAAAAAAAATCATAAAGGAACTAATGGACTCACCTAAAACTTTAAACTATGAATATAAGTAAAAGTACAAAAATGGCGCTGGAGAGATGGCTTAGCAGTTAAGAGCACTGGCTGCTCTTGTAGAGGACCCGGGTTTGATTCCCAAGACTCATGTGGTGGCTAAGAACCACCTGTAACTCCAGTTCCAGGGGATCCAACGCCCTCTTCTGACCTCTGTGGGCACTGCACGACATAGGTGCACTTACATGCAGGTATTATACTCATACACAAAAATAAAACAATTTTTAAAAGTACAAAAATCAAACATAATCATAAACTTAGGAAATATTAAGCGTACATAGATGTCTTTGCCACATAGATTTATAACCCTAATACACCTCTGATTAACTGGGCAAAGTATGACAAAAGACACACTTCAAAAGCAACATTAACATGAACTATTCAGATGGGCAAGTATGAAGCTTTCTTTCCTAAATTTCTAATTCGGGAATTAAATAACAGGTTTTTTTTTTTTAAACTTTAAGTAGAATGTTAATTATTATGAAATGTTTCTAAGGTAATACCACTTCCTTTACAAAAACAGAGATTGCAGGTTAAGAATTTGAGCAATTCTATTTATCTTTTACACTGTATTTAATGATCCACATATTACTTTCCTATGTTGTGGTTAAGTAAGATCACTAATAAATAAGACATTCTTTATTAACATAATGTTAATTTTTTATAATCAAACTGAAAAGGGAAAATGAAGCCAAACTCTAAGGTAGGGAAATCGTCACTTACTGCGGGTACCAGTAGTTTCTTCACCTCTTCAACTGCCCTCTTCAGCTTGATCTCTGCTCTGTTCTGAGCATCTTCCACAGTGATTAGCACATGCAAATCTTCATTTAGATGCTCCCAATTGGGCTTGCCTCTATTCTGCTCCTCCTAAACAAATGTTACAAAGTACAATGTTACCAACATTCTTTTTAAGACAGAGCACATCTTTCATAACATAAATTTAATGACAATTACTTAAAGCCATGTTTACATTATTTTGCTACGGTGATTATTACAAATCTTGGGGATAACTTTCCTGGAGAAAACTAAACAAAGACTGGCTCTGGTACTAGCATGCCAGTGCGAGCTAACCACAAACACTCATGCAGGACCTACTGTGCCTCAGGAATGGAGCCAGAAGCTAAGTATATAAATGACCAAGACAACTGCAAGATGATTAGCTCAGAAGCACTACACAGCATCACTTTAAGTTACAAAAGAATACTTCCAGGAGCACGTTTAAGTTATGAAAAAACAAAGTCACAAAGGTGAATGAGGTAAGACGCTCAGTATCTCACAGCTGCCAATTTAAGGGTGAATCAAATCCTTCATTTTCAAATTAGGAACACTTCCATTCATGATCAATGTGTTACACAATGCTGGGTCTCGTCAGCATTAGAAAAACTATTTTGCAAATACAGACATTATTATGTAAAAGAAGTATTATTTAAGTATTTCAAGTAATAATTATAGAAACAATTCATTATTTATAATGCATAAATGTAGGAATTGTTTTTAACTCTATTTCCAGGGGATCATACGTTAAAAAAATTAATTACTCCAGGTGTGGTCTTGTACACCTTGAATCCCAACTCTCAGGAGGCTGAGGCAGGCGGATCTCTGAGTTCCAGGCCAGGCAGGGCTGCCTAGGCTCCAGTGGATGGCCGCACCCCCACGCACATATGGGGCAGCACTGAATAAACTTAGTGGGTTTTTTGTTTTTGTATTTAAAAAAGAAAAGCGTGACACTGGGAGGTAGATGTGTTACAAGGGAAATCCAGGGGAAGGTGGAAAGGGGAAATGATGGTATAGATACATACATATGATATATACATACATATATATATATATTCATTCATATATTCTCCAAGAGTAAGATTAAAAACAAATGTACCGTCTACTCTTTCATTGATGAGTCAAGAACGCTAGTTTCACAGAGAATCATCTAAGTTTCATTTCACTGGTAACCTGTTATTGCCAAGTAAGAAGTTCTGCATGCTGAATTCCTTGTCCACTACAGGTGAGCCGGCTACACTTGTCCACCTAACACTACAGTCTTGGAATTTCAGACTCGATTCTTGAATTAAGTTTTAAGGGTAACATACATACATACTTATAAAGTTTAGGAAAGTACAAAAATTTAAACTTAAACAATTTAAGAAAATAAACATAAAATGTATGTTACACTTCGGTATCATTTCTATGCACATGATTCAAAGTTTTACAGAGATGAACAATAAAAACACCTGCTGTTGTTGGACCTTTATTGTGAAGGTCACTGCTTCATGAGCATGGAGATTACAACTAAGAAACATAAAACTGGCACAAACAGCTTTCCTACTACAGCTCACCTGAGCATACTCGATGAAGATGGACGCACATTCTAACACGTACAGGATTCTGCTCTATGCTGGTTAAAAGCTTCAGAAGAAAAACGTACTACACACTGAAGGCAGAGACCAAGTGCTTCTGAAGAGTGAGCTTGAGCGCCAGCATAGGGAGCTCACTGGTTGCCAAGGGACAGGTGAAGTCTCAAGGGAAAACAGAACAGTCAGTATCTCTAAAGACTATGGAAGTAAGTAGCTCAAAGCTGTCTGTTTCAACTTTAGTTCATACCACGCTCCTTTTAACAGCGCATCTTAGCAGAGTTGGGGGTTTGGTGGTTGCTGTGATGAAAAGCAAGTTTACTCAAAAATCAGTGTGGGACAGGAGGGTGGCAGTTCCTCATCTCACTCAGAGTCTGAGAATCTGAAGAGCAGCCAAGAACACAGACGCTGTTAAACATTAATGTGACTGCTGAAAATGCCTTCAATTCAGTGTATTAAATACGAGTTCAGCCACTTGTAAAAGTTCAATACATGATCATGAGTTACTTTTTTCACCTAGGGAGCATCAAGATGATGAGACTGGGGAGTCAGTCAATGAACCCAGAAACTGGGAACCTCGGGGTTATTGGTATGGCAAAGAACAGAGAATGTGCATAAATTCTTCTGTGGTAAGAACAACCAGCTTTAAATCAAAATGTTAATTTTTATGTTAAAGAATGCTTGTAGGTCTCACAAAAAATTTGTTTTAATTTTTACTCCTTTGGTAGACTTAGGAAAGCTACCTGTATTATTATGGCTATTTATCTAAATCCATTGTATAAAGGACTTTCATTTCTAATCAAGACAGAGTAACGCCCCCGCCCCCCTCCAGTACTAAACTAAACATCTCCCACTGGATACTTGGTAAGAAATTGTAGAAGACTATAATCTTCGGCTAAGACTGGAGCTTGTTGCCCATTTCCCCAGTTCTGTGCTGAGGTTTTGTCTGCCTGAGTTTGCATGGGTCTTGTGCGTGCTGACACCACTGCTGTAGGTTCATATAGGCATAGGAGCTCACAGGACTCTATTTCCCTATGGTCAGGCACATCTTTCTGCTGGGTGAGGCAGAGCTGATCTTCCTAAGGGGAGGGACTAGAATGCAGTGGATGAACTTGTACTGACGGATGCCTGGGAACACACTAACTTGACAGAATAGATTTTACCACAAATGAGAGAATGTATGAGTTCCACTTGAGTGAGGGGGCTATGGGAGGGTGCCAGTGGGGAAGGGGGTATAAAGATGATTAAGGTTAGGATGTTCTGTGTGAAATATACAAAAATTCAATATAAAATTTATAAACAATTTTATCCTTTCCTATTTTCCTTTCTAAACACGGACTAGTCTGCACATGAGGAGGCAGCATGGATTGTTTTTTTTTAACTTTCTGTGATTGGGTGACTTCACTTAATAGTATACATTCTAGGTCCATTAATTTTCCTGTAAATTTTGACATTTCTTTTTTAAGAGCTGAATTCTGTACAGTACATGTTCTAGATTTTCATTATCCATTCATCTTTTGATGGACAACTACGTTGGTTCCATCTCCTTGTGAATAGAGCAGTGATAAATGGGGGCAGAAGTATTGCCATAGGAGGGTGTGGCCTTCTCTAGGTATACATCCAGGGGTGACACAGATAGGTAGCTCTATTTTTGATATTCTGAGGAACCTCCAAACTGATTTCAATAATAGTTGTACTAATCTGCCCTCCCACCAGAAGTGAATAAGGGCATCTCTACATCCTCACCAACATCTGTTGTTGGATTTCTTGATGATAGTCAATCTGACTGGTGTAATGTGATAGATATCGTGAAGGTTTAATTTGCTTTCCCCTGATGATTAGGAAAGTTTAACACTTTTAAAAACAAATAATATGTGTGTAACTACCTTCTGGTTCTAGCCTGGGAACTGCTAGAGATTGATCACTACTGGGGGAGGGAGACTAGACCTTACTTACCATCTCTGGAGAGGCTCACTAGACTCCAGTGGATGATCTTGCACGGAAGGACATTGGAGTACAAATGTTTGACAGGACAGGACTTACATGTGTGGCAGAATGCATGAGGTCTGGTGGAGCAGAGGGGGACTCTGGCATGGATGGGGGAGGAGGTCTAAATTGAGTAAGAACTGCTGTATGAAATGTACAAAAGCTCAATTAAACATTTTTAAACTAATAAAAATAACAGAGGTGATGGTTCACATCTAAGGTTCATCTTAGACATTTTTCCTAATTGTACATATCCCCAAAGTGTCTTTTTTCCAAATGGAATTGGTTATTGACATGCTGATGTGCTCTTAATAGCAAAATAGAACTATTCTCTGCCTGAAGCATTATAATAAAGTTGTCTTTTTAAAAGAACAAACAAAGAAAAAAGAAGAAATTGGAGAAGCCAGGAAACAACCACTGGGGCTTCTACATTAAGAAGTGCCTGGTTCTCACGTGGAGCCAGACTGAAACATCTCATTCAGCAACAGTAGAGCAGTCTTGTCTCCATAGAGGAAACAGTGCGGTGGTACTGTTTAAATAAAAGACAAAAGAAAGACCAGGGGACCAGACTTTTCCCAACTAAGTAAGCCACTTCCCAGAACCCAGCTGAAGGACATTTATAGGAATAAAATGTATCTACTCAACAAAGTAAAAATCTCTGACATTCAGTTAGAAATCAGTAATCATCAGGGATAGGGAAGGGGCTCAGTAGGTAAGTTCCCTTTTTTTCCCTTTATTTTGAGACAGCTCCCACCCACCTCCCCACCCCCCCAGATCTTCCTGCCTCTGCCTAAGGAGTGCTGGGATTTAAAGGTGGGATTAGTTACCATGGCTAGCTTGGTTTGTAATTTTTTTTAAAAAGTCATTATCCACAAAAGTTTAAAACTATGCAGTAATTACAGTGTTTGTAACAAGAAGCACCAGGGCAAGCTGCCCCACCTCCTGCTGAGAGGTAATTATGCAAATACAGCCAGGCAGAGGAGAACAGACCCCACCTACCATGCTCTCAGCTTCAGAGAAAATCCCTACTGCAGGAACTCACAAGGCAGTCTCCTGGAAATGTATGTTCTGTTGCAAACCAACCTTCTAATAACTTTTATGATGAATATATACTTTTAAGGCCAAATATATAACAATCTCCAGTTACATATATAATGTATAATTAGTTTAAGACACTTTTGCTGTGCAGACTTATTACCTAATTCTTCACTGACTCCAATCATACAACTGACCTCAAGAAGTTCTTCTTAAACTCGAGACAAACAAAAAACATTTTGGTAGCATAGGAACACTGGGGTAATTTTATATTTAGTTTATTAAAACCATTTAATAAAATGTAGGCAGCAGAATCCAACACTTATGGAGCTGACTTCAAAGCACTTCTGTTGTTTTTTGCCCACAGCTTTCTGGTTTAAAAGATGCTTATGCTGTAATCCCAGCACCGACTGGAGAGGATGAGACAGGAGGGCTGACTTTGAGGCTAGCTTCGTGCCTAGCAAATCCCAAGCTAGTCTGGGCTATACAGCAACACGTGCC